AGCCCTGCATAGTTGATTTTGTGGGCTTTGTTCTCTGGGTGTCCTTCTTTAAATTGGAAAATTTTTTATTGACTTTTTGAAAATATTTTCTAGGCCTTTGACTTGGGAATTCTTTCCTTCTGTTCTTATTATTCTTAACTTTTTTCCCCCTATTTTTCCATACTGTTCCAGGAAGTGTGCACTGCACTTAAGTTTTCACATCCCTTGCTAAAAGCTCCACAATTCCAGTCATCTATCCCTGTATTCTCACCCTCTATCTCTTTTTTTTAATTTATTTTAATTTATTTTGCAATACAATTCAGTTCTACATATCAGCCACGGATTCCCTTGTTCTCCCCCCTCCCGTCCCCCTCACCTTCCCCCCAACCCCCCCCATTCCCATCTCCTCCAGGGCAAAGCCTTCCCCACAGATTGAGGTCAACCTGGTAGACTCAGTCCAGGTAGGTCCAGTCCCCTCCTCCCAGGCCGAGCCAAACAATCCTGCATAGGCCCCAGGTTTCAAACAGCCAACTCATGCAATGAGCACAAGATCTGGTCCCACTGCCTGGATGCCTCCCAAACTGATCAAGCCAATCAACTGTTTCACCCATTCGGAGGGCCTGATCCAGTGGGGACCCCTCAGCCATTGGTTCATAGTTCATGTGTTTCCATTCATTTGGCTATTTGTCCCTGTGCTTTATCCAACCTTGGTCTCAACAATTCTCGCTCATATAAACCCTCCTCATTCTCACTAATTGGACTCCCAGAGATCCACCCGGGGCCTAGTCATGGATCTCTGCATCCAGATCCCTCAGTAGTTGGATGAGGTTTCTAGCACAACAATTAGGGTGTTTGGCCATCCCATCACCAGAGTAGGTCAGTTCGCTCACCCTCTATCTCTTGTTCACCTAGTACTTCCTGCTCCCATCCTCAAACACCTCCCGTGCACCCACAAAAGCTATTCTATTTCTACTTCCCAAGGAGAGCCATGTATCTCTCCTAGAGCCATCCTTGTTACTTAGCCTTTCTGCGTCTTTGGATTGTACTATGGCTAACCTTTACTGAACAGTTAATATCCACTTATAAGTTAGTACATGCCATGTTTATCTATGTGCTTCTGGGTTCCCTCACTCAAGATAATAAAGAGCTCAAGAAACTAGATAACAAACCAAATAATCCAATCAAAATGGAGTACACATCTAAACAGAATTCTCAAAATAGGAATCTAAAATGGGTGAGAAACACTTGAAGAAATGTTCAATATCCTTAGCCATCAGGGAAATGCAAATGAAAACTATTTTGAGATTTCATCTTACACCTGTCAGAATGGTTAAGATCAGTAACACAAGTGCCATCTAATGCTGGCAAGAATGTGGAGCAACTGGAACTAACTAAACTGCTCGACCATTAGCTCAGGCCTACCACTAACTAGCTCTTACACTTAAACTCAGCCCATTTCTATTAATCTATATGTTGCCACGTGTTCTGTGGCTTTACCTGTTGCCTTTACATGCTGCTCCCTGGGTGGAGTTCATTGTTCATTGTTAGTTGTTCATTGCTGATGCAGGTACACACTTGTAGAGCTACTGTGGAAATCAGTATGTAGTCCTCAGATATTTGGAGGTCAATCTACCTTAAAACCCAGCTATACCACCACTCTTGGGCATATACACAAAAGATGCACCTCCATCCTACCACAAGGACAGTTGCTCAACTATGTTCATAGCAGCTTTGTTGGTAATAGCCATAAAATAGTATGTCTGTGAGAGATTGTGTTGATTAATGATTGATGTGGGAAGGCTTCTCCACTGAAGGTGGCAATATCTCTAAGAAAGTGGGCCTGGGCTGGATAAGATAACTATATGAGCATGAGACAGTGACTAGGCAAGAGAGAAAGCCAGGAAACTATGTTTGCCCATGGGCTTACTCTTCAATTATTGGCTTGAGTTTCTATCCTACACTCCCAAAATGATGGAGTATGTTTTGATATGATCAGCCAAGTAAACCCATTCATTGCCTGAAATGCTTTTAGTTAGAGGATTGAAGGACAGCAACGTAAAAGCAAGTTAGAACGAAAGATGGAACACTAAAAGTGATTTTGTTGCTAGGTAGAACCTGGGAGTGTTGTCTTTTGGAGGAATGTGGAAGATATCAGAAAATTAGGTGGCAAAAGCCATAGAAAGTTGCACATAGAACTTAATTGACTTTTTTTGTAGGATCAGGAAGATGAGAATGTTGAGAGTCATGGCAGACAGTGGAGGTTGAGGTCATAGGGTTTCAGTCAGAAATAGATTTCAAAAAAAAATTAAGCTAGAGGTCATTTGCGTGATTTTTTGGCTCAAAAGTCATTTTATTCTGCCTATGACCTGGCAATTTAATAAGGTAGAATTAAAAAATAATGGGCTAATTTCTTAAATGGAGTATCAAAATCTGTTGGATGGTTACTGCTGATGACTCAGGTCTACAGTAGAAAAAAAATCGAGTGGGACAGAAATAAATGAAAATGAGAAGGTAGTTTCAGATGACAGTCACGTGCTGAAACAGGCAGGAATTTTCAAGGAGTTTATCACCACTCTATAGAAGGCCCTTGCTCTGGAATCAAAGCTTCGCAAGGTGCCCTAAGGATAAGACTCTGTGCAGCCAAACCTTCAGTTTATGGAAGGAGTAAGCAAAGTGATTCCTAGTCCCAGGAGCAACTCAATGCAAAATCTGCTGCACCTGTCATCCAAGTGTGTTAGTGTCTATCCCAATTAAGAAGTCAGACTTTGCACAATCACCCATGATGTGCCAGTCCTGGAAAGAAGAAAGAATCTAAATTTTAGGTCATGAATTTTTAGTCTGTGGTTTCATTTCAGCATTGTTGCAGGCATCTGTGTTTAGCAGATTCACAAACTCAGTGAGGAAACAGAGTTCATTGCATGAAGCTGTGAGGATGAAGCCTGGGTTGCATTTTGAGACCACAAGATGTTGAGATACCTAAGCTATATCTGCCATGGAGAGCTAGGTGCACATATGGAGTAGATGTAACCAAAAAGAGAGATGTATGAGAAGTTGCAGGAATAGGGCTATCTAGTGCTATGGGGTGTTCTGTATGTTAAATGTGTTGCTCTGATTGGTTAATAAATAAAACACTGATTGGCCAATAGCCAGGCAGGAAGTATAGGTGGGACAAGCAGCGAAGAGAATTCTGGGAACAGGAAGGCTGAGGCGGGAGATGCTGTGAGCTGCCGCCATGACAAGCAGATGTTAAGATACTGGTAAGCCACAAGCCACGTGGCAATTTATAGATTAATAGAAATGGGTTAATTTAAGATATAAGAACAGTTAGCAAGAAGCCTGTCATGGCCATACAGTTTGTAAGCAATATAAGTCTCTGTGTGTTTACTTGGTTGGGTCTGAGCGGCTGTGGGACTGACGAGTAAGAGAGATTTGTCCTGACTGTGGGCCAGGTACGAAAATTCTAGCTACAAATGGCGCTCAACGGGTTGGCAAGAGTTTCCACCTAAAACCTAAGGAAAAAAGATTCTAAAACCGAGGTAAAAACAGTTTCCTAGTTGTCTCTCTCAAGTTAACGGCAACCTGCAGGTTTGAGCTACTGGCGGGTTCCTGGCATTTGTGCTTGACCTACAGTATGGTGGGAATGAGGTGTCTACAAGTGGCACATTACGCTGGTGTGTGATGGATTTAGCCTTTGCTAGTATTAAAAAAAGAGGTTTCTGGGCTACATGCTGCTTGGACAAAAGTATAGACCCATGATGGCTCCTAGAGCTGGTAGTAAACTGTACCACTGCCATATTGGGAAGCTGAGGTGGGCAGAGCCAGCAGCCACAGTGGCCTTTTCAGTCTTAAAATGCTGCAGTTTAAAGCAGTAGATTCACAATAAGACAGATTCAGATGGAACAAGACTTTAAATACTTTACAATGTGTGTATAAATGTATGTAGGTTTGAAAGAGAGGGGAAAAGAAATATATACAGTTATATAAACAAATAGATAGTTTTTAAAAATAAAGTCTTTAAAGAGACAGTAAAGGTACTATAAAAAATAGGTCACATAAAGATGGATATTACACATAGAGTCTGGATTGTGTTGTCTTTGGAATTTTTAACTTCAGAAAAAAAATTGATTGTAAAAGCTGTTGAGTTAAGCCAATATGTATATTTTAAAGATATCTTGACTTTGTTGCTTTGGAAAGGAGGCTCTGCTTTTGTTTCCACAGAAAGCAAGAGGCTATGGATTTGTTCCAGATTAAGATACATCAGGTTTGACCAGTCAAGACCACCTGAAAGGTCTCTGATGACACCATGGCCCAGATGATCCAACATCCAGAACTGTTTCAAGGCAACTGGCTCAGACGATACACCCTTACGGACTACTCCATAATTTTAAATTTTTCTTTGTGTCTCCATAAGATACAGCATCCCCCTCCAGCAGGAAGTAGTAAGAGAAGCTACATCCAAATTCCCAAATATACTATGCTGGCTTTGGAGATGGAATTGGCTCACTCCTTCTCTAAACCCAGGCATATTGCTAAAAGAAAAGATTAAGAGATTCTTGTGTCCCAAATCAGAAGAGCTCTCTGGTGTGAGACAGAGAAAAACCAATATGTTTATTTAAAACAGGTTGATTATAAATGCAATCTCTTTCTAAAGAAGAAAAGGGGATATGATATAGATATAATAGGATGAAAGGGTAGATTAATGAACCTACTTTTAAAGAGCAACTTGTTTAAAATGTTTTACATTGCTATGGATTTTAGTTTATTGATACAAGTTTGAAGATAATTTTGTTATACTGTATATATACTTCTACTCTCGTTTGAGGTATTATGTTTATGTAACTCATTTAGTTTGTAATGGATAATTAAGAAATACAGATTAATAATTAGTCCTCTATGATAGTCAAACTTGTAGCGATGTTAGTTTTCTAGGTATACATAGATATATTTCAGATAGATAGGTAATCTTCAAATACTTCAAAGACCTACAGAATATGGCATTTAAAATATTTTTAAAAATTTAGACTTTCTAGACAGTGAGACATGTCTGCTCCTGGCAGCACCAGATTTGCTTCAGAGAGGAGGATGGGCATCGAAGACACTCCATATGGAGTTTATCTTCACCGTGGCAAAAATAGCCATTTGGACAAGAAACTGTTCTTGCCTGGACTGCTTGATCGACTGGACATACAGGACCCATGGGAAGGTGACCACTGAACTTTGCTTGGTGAAATGGTCCTTCAGATTCCTGCTTCACAGAGGAAACTGCCAGACATTCTACAGGACACAGAGAGAAATGACTGAGAGACTCTGGTCCTGTGGGCTGAAGACAGATGCCCCAACTTTACAAAAGAACTTTGGATGACTGTCCAGGCTGCCAGCTGTCTCTGTCTACTCTCACAAGACTCTTGAAAGTTGCTTGCATACTTCTTCCATTTCTCAGGTAATATTATATCTTTCTGAGGTCTTTGATGAAGTTGAAGACTAGTTATAATTTTCCTTAGTTATGATAAAAGATAAGTTAGATATGATACCTTAGACTCACAAATATAAGATAGATAGGTTATCTTCTTTAATTTTGCCAAATACAAATAGACTAGTTATTATAAATAGACTACATATTGTAACTGTAATTCTGCTTGATATTTGTTTTGTTATCTGTAATTTTACTATGTGAAAGTTAAAACCTTCCTTTAAAAAAAAAAGAAAAGGGGAAGTGCTGTGGGGTGTTCTGTATGTTAAATGTGTTGCTCTGATTGGTTAATAAATAAAACACTGATTGGCCAGTAGCCAGGCAGGAAGTATAGGTGGGACAAGTAGCGAAGAGAATTCTGGGAACAGGAAGGCTGAGGCAGGGAGACGCTGTGAGCTGCTGCCATGACAAGCAGATGTTAAGATACTGATAAACCACAAGCTACATGGCAACTTATAGATTAATAGAAATGGGTTAATTTAAGATATAAGAACAGTTAGCAAGAAGCCTGTCATGGCCATACAGTTTGTAAGCAATGTAAGTCTCTGTGTGTTTACTTGGTTGGGTCTGAGCGGCTGTGGGACTGTCGGGTGAGAGAGATTTGTCCTGACTGTGGACCAGGCAGGAAAACTCTTGCTACATCTAAGCCTTTTGAAACTGAAGCTCCAGGGTGTCTGAGACAGAGCTACAGGATTTGATGTTTGTCCTGCTTTGCTTCAGTCTTGCCTTTGTCTAATCTTTCCTCAGTATATCCCCATTCATTTCTTTTGGAATACAAATAGGTATTCTGCACTCCCCATTCTCTGTGTATGTTGGAGAGATGTAACTTGTTTTCTAATTTTACTAGATGTCACAATCAAGAGATTGTCTTGAGTGTCAGAAGAGATTTTGGAATTTGAACAATGTAAAGGCTGTTGCAGACTATGAGGAGCATTGAAATGACTAAATGCATTTTTTTTATGGATGATCATGAGCCTGTAAGGTACCTTGGTCAGAATATATTTGATGAAATGAAAAACCTCCCAGATAGGATGATGTATTTGATCATGTGTCTCTCCTTGGTGGCTTTCTATGGGTTGCTTGTGAAACCTTTAGTAGAGCAGCCTTTCTAGATGAAATTCCTCATTGGAAATGGGTATTAGTGTCTATAGCCTCAGTCCATTTGCTGTTCTTTGTGTCTACTGTATTGTGGTTGAGACTAATAAGCCAGCTTCCTTCTTGTGCTGTCATACCTTCATTACCATTATAGACTCTATTTCTAAATCACATAAGATACAGTAGAAGCAATTTCTATTCAGTGCTAGGCCAGTTTGCTAGCCTGCTGTTTAATTTGTTTATTTCTTTTTGAAGACAAGATTTGACTTGTAGCCCTGGTTGTCCTGAGAGTAGCTCTCTACACCCGGTTAGCCCCAAAATCAGAGATCCCCCTGCCTCTGGCTCCCAAGTTCTAGGATTAAAGTTGGGCCAAGATTACTGGTTTGTTTTGTTTTTATATTATTGAGTGATGGGCCTGGAATGTAGGTTTGTATACATGTCAAGGATATGCTATTGTGTTGAGCTTCACCCACATCTTGAATTTTTAAACTTGGCAGAGGGTATCATTCTCTTTCCCAGGATGGCAGTATTCATGACATTAATGCTGCCTGCACCATCTGAGCCACTGGATTCCAGGTGTGTGACATTCTTTTTACCTACTGTGCTTATTTTGAATTCATTTGAATGAACATGAGTCTTTTACCTGTATGCATGGATGTGCACCACATGGGTGCCTGATCTTCACAGTGGTAAAAAGCCAGTATCAGAATCCCTAAACTTGGAATAATGGATAGTTGTGATCCCCCATGTAAGTACTGGCAATTGAGCCCACCTATATGCAAGACCAGGAAGAGTTCTTTAGTACCGAGCCATTTCTCCTGCCCTTGATTATTTATGATCAACATTTATACGGCTGATGTTTTCATCTGTCCATTTGTAACTGTTTCAACATGGAGTGCCTTTTAGTAGTGCTGTGGATATCGCTCTGTATAAATAAACACTGATTGGCCAATAGCCAGACAGGAAGTATAGGCGGGACTAACAGAGAGGAGAATTGAGGAAACAGGAAGGGAAGGGAGAGACTGTGGGAGCCACCACAAGGACAAGGAAGATGTAAGGTACCAATAAACCACGAGCCACGTGGCAAAGTATAGATTAATAGAAATGGGCTAAATATAAGAGTAAGAGCTAGACAATGATAGGCCTGAGCTAATGGCCAAGCAGTTTAAATAATGTAAGAGTCTGTTCGTTTATTTTATAAGTGGGCTCTGGGACTGGTAGGACTTGGTGGGAGCTGGAGAGAAATTCTCTAGCTACAAATGGCGCCCAACGTGTTGGCAAGAGTTTCCACCTAAAACCTGAGTAAAAAGATACTAAAACGGAGCTAAAAACAGTTCCTAGTTGTCTCTTTCAAGTTAGCAGCAGCTTGCATGTTTGAGCTACTATCTACTATGGCGGGTTCCTGGCGTGCACGCTGGACCTGCAGTATGGCGGGAATGAGGCCTCTGCAAGTGGCACATTAAGCTGCATAGTGGATTTAGCCTTTGCTAGTACAAAACAAAAAGAGGTTTCTAGGCTACATGCTGCTTTGATAGAAGCATAGACCCACTATTTCTGAGAGTTGATGGCTCCCAGAGCTAGTGAAAAACGTACCACTGCCATGTTGGGAAGCTGAAGTGGGCAGAGCCAGCAGCCACAGCACCATTTCAGTCTTAGTATGCTGCAGTTTAAAGCAATACGTTCACAATAAGACTGATTCAGATGGAATAGTTTACAATGTATGTAAAAATGTATGTAGGCTTGAAAGAGAGAAAAAGGAATATATACAGTTATATAAACAAATAGTTTTTAAAAATAAAGGCTTTAAAGAAACAGTAAAGGTAATAAGCCACGTAAAGATGGCTATCACACAGAGAATCTGGATTATGTTGTCTTTGATATTCATAACTAAAGAAAAACATTTGATTGTAAAAGCTGTTGAGTTATGCCAAAACGTATACTTTAAAGGTACTTTAACTTCAAAATTTGGATGTAAGGATATGTTGCTTTGGAAAGGAGGCTCTTCTTTTGTTTCCACAGAAGGCCAGAGGCTATGGATTTGTTCCAGATTAAGATACATCAGGTTTGACCAGTCAAGACCACCTGAAAGGTCTCTGATGACACCATGGCCCAGATGATCCAACATCCAGAACTGTTTCAAGGCAACTGGCTCAGACGATACACCCTTATGGACTACTCTATAATTTTAAAATTTTCTTTGTGTCCCCATAAGATATAGCGTCACCCTCCAGCAGGAAGTAGTAAGAGAAGCTATGCCCAAATTCCCAAATATACCATGCTGGCTTTGGAGATGGAATTGGCTCATTCCTTCTCTAAACCCAAACATATTCCTAAAATAAAAGGTTAAAAGATTCTTTTGTCCCATATCAAAAAAGCCCTCTGGTGTGGAACAGAGAGAAACCAATATTTTTATTTAAAACAGGTTGATTATAAATTCAATCTCTTTCTAAAGAAAAGGGGATATGATATACATATATAGGATATAGATATGATAGGATAAAAGGGTAGATTAATGAACCTACTATCAAAGAACAACAACTTGTTTAAAATGTTTTACATTTGGTATAGATTTTAGTTTATTTTTAAAATGTTTTACATTGGTATAGATTTTAGTTTGTTGATACAAGTTTAAACTTAATTTTGTTATACTGTATGTATATTTCTATTCTCATTTGAGGTATTATGTTTATGTAACTCATTTAGATTAGAATGGATAATTAAATAGATTAATAATTAGTCATCTATGATAATCATACTTATAGCCATGTTAGTTAAGTCTTCTAGGTATACATAGATATATTTCAGATAGATAAGTAATCTTCAAATACTTCAAAGACCTACAGAATATGGCATTTAAAATATTTTTAAAAATTTAGACTTTCTGGACAATGAGACATGTCTGCTCCTGACAACACCGGATTTACTTCAGAGAGGAGGATGGGCATCGAAGACACTCCATATAGAGTTTATCTTCACCTTGACAAAAATAGCCATTTGGACAAGAAACTGTTCTTGCCTGCATTGCTTGATCAACTGGACATACAGGACCCATAGAAAGGTGACCACTGAACTTTGCTTGACAAAATGGTCTTTCAGGTTCCTGCTTCACAGAGAAAACTGCCAGATGTTCTACATGACACTGAGAAAAATGACCAAGACACTCTAGCCCTGTGGGCTGAAGACAGATGCCCCAACTTTACAAAGGAACATGAGGTGACTGTCCAGGCTGCCAGCTGTCTCTGTCTACCCTGCAAGACTCCTGAAAGTTGCTTGCATCCTCCTGTTTCTCAGGTAATATTATATCCTTCTGAGGTCTTTGATGTAGTTGAAGCTAGATAGTTACAGTTTTCCTTAGTTATGATAAAAGATAAGTTAGATATAAAACCTTAAACTCACAATTATAAAATAGATAAGATATCTTCTTTAATATTATAACTGTAATTCTTGCTCAATAACTGTTTTGTTATATGTAATTTTACTATGTTAAAGTTAAAACCTTCCTTTTTGAAAAAGAAGAAAGGGGAAGTGCTGTGGATATCGCTCTGTATAAATAAACACTGATTGGCCAATAGCCAGACAAGAAGTATAGGCGGGACTAACAGAGAGGAGAATTGAGGAAACAGGAAGGGAAGGGAGAGACTGTGGGAGCCACCACAAGGACAAGGAAGATGTAAGGTACCAATAAACCACGAGCCACATGGCAAAGTATAGATTAATAGAAATGGGCTAAATATAAGAGTAAGAGCTAGACAATGATAGGCCTGAGCTAATGGCCAAGCAGTTTAAATAATGTAAAAGTCTGTGTGTTTATTTTATAAGTGGGCTCTGGGACTGGTAGAACTTGGTGGGAGCTGGAGAGAAATTCTCCAGCTACAAAATAGGATCTTATTGGTTTTACATTTTAAACTGGGACACTTCAGGTTTCTGGAAGATTAATATAAAACTGAAATGAATGCATACCTCTTTGTAGGAACTTCAGTGAAAACCTCTGAGTTCTTTCTATCTTTTTTGTTTAATTGATTTTTGCACAGGAGACAGGGTCTTAATATATACTTTTGGCTGTCCTGGAACTGACTGCATACTATAGGCTGGCATTCAGTTTTGAAGCAGATATACTTCCCTCTGCCTTCTGAGTGCTGGGATTAAAGACACTTGCCAATACACCCAGCTTTCAAATCTTATTTTTCTTTCTTTTTTTTTTTTTGTTGCTAGAGTTTTCCTGACTGGCCCACAGTCAGGACAAATCTCTGACACCCACCAGTCCCACAGCCACTCAAACCCGATCAAGTAAACACAGAGACTTATATTGGTTACAAACTGTATGGCCGTGGCAGGCTTCTTGCTAACTGTTCTTACAGCTTAAATTAATCCATTTCTATTAATCTATACCTTGCCACGTGGCTTGTGGCTTACCGGTACTTTACATCTTCCTTATCCTGATGGCAGCTGGTAGTGTCTCTCCCCCCCAGCTTCCTGTTCTCTCAATTCTCCTCTCTGTTAGTCCCGCCTATACTTCCTGCCTGGCCACTGCCAATCAGTGATTTATTCATTGACCAATCAGCAACACATTTGACATACAGACCATCCCACAGCACTTCCCCTTTTCTTTTCTTAAAAAGGAAGGTTTTAACCTTTACACATCTCCAAAGTCAGCTTGGTATATTTGGGAATTTGGGCGTAGCTTCTCTTACTACTTCCTGCTGGAGGGGGGCGCTGTATCTTCTGGGGAAACAAAGAAAAATTTAGGATCATGGAGTAGTCCGTGAGGCTGTATCATCTGAGCCAGTTGCCTTGAAACGGTTCTGGATGTTGGATCATCTGGGCCATGGTGTCATCGGAGACCTTTCAGGTGGTCTTGGCTGGTCAAACCTGATGTGTCTTAATCTGGAACAAATCCATAGCCTCTTGCTTTCTGTGGAAACAAAAGCAGAGTCTCCTTTCCAAAGTAACATATCCTTATATCCAAATTTTGAAGTCAAGGTACCTTTAAAATATGCATATTGGTTTAACTCAGCTTCCTTTACAATCAAATATCTCTCTGTAGTTAAGAATCCCAAAGACAGCATAATCCAGATTCTCTGTGTGATATCCATCTTTATGGGGCTTATTTTTTATATTAATTTTACTGTCTCTTTAAAGACTTTATTTTTTAAAACTATGTATTTGTTTCTGTAACTGTATATATCACCTTTTTAATCTCTTTCAAGCCTACATATATTTTACACACATTTTAAACTATTACATCTGAATCTGTCTTATTGTGAATCTATTGCCTTAAACTGCAGCATCTGTGGCTGCTGGCTCCGCCCACCTCAGCTTTCCAACATGGCGGTAGTATGTTTCCCACCAGCTCTGGGAGCCATCGTGGGTCTATGCTTTTATCCAAGCAGCATGTAGCCCAGAAACCTCTTTTTTTGTTTTGTACTAGCAAAGGCTAAATCCACCAAGCAGCTTAATGTGCCACTTGCAGAGGCCTCATTCCTGCCATACGGCAGGTCGAGCGCGCACACTAGGAACCCACCAGTAGCTCAAACCGGCAGCTGCTGCTCATTTGAGAGAGACAATTAGGAACTGTTTTTAGCTCTGTTTTAGAATCTTTTCTCAGTTTTTAGGTGGAAACTCTTGCCACCACGTTGGTCGCCATTTTTTTTTTTTTTGGTTTTTTGAGACAGGGTTTTTCTGTGTAGCTTTGCGCCTTTCCTGGGACTCACTTGGTAGCCCAAGCTGGCCTCAAACTCACAGAGATCCGCCTGGCTCTGCCTCCCGAGTGCTGGGATTAAAGGCGTGCACCACCACCGCCCGCCCTTATTTTTCTTTTTTGTACTTAGTAATTGTTCATACAATTTTTCTGATGTGTACTCTGTCCTGTTGATCTGTTAACTTGTCTATGTTTGTTAATAGGCATGTTTCTTGCAAAGTTATCCCATTCAAACAGTTCAGAAATGACAGAAGTTCTTACAGGCCATAAGAATATATCATAGAGATTCAGCTGTGTATTAAAGTTGAACTTTGACCAGCCAAGGTTCTGTCAAAAGGCAAACCTATTTGTTATGAATATTTGATGTTACCCAGCCTTTACTATTCCAGCTGTCTTCTGCTATGAAATCCTTGCTTGTCCAGACCAAATGGTAAACAATTCAGCTCCCCAAATCTGCTGTACCTACTAAGTTACTAACTGCCCTGCTGAGCTTAGGAGACAAGCTGGCAAGAGACACATAGCTTTGTTTCCTGTGCTAATGAAGCTCAGACCATCCCCTCACCTTGAGGAGGCCTAGTGATTCTCCAGAGCATTTTGACTGAGAACAAAAGAGGTTTTTACATATCAAGGTGAGAGATAAAACAATATTCCTGAGGAGGCAGGGAACCACGTGCCCAGGAGTAGAGAGTAGCATAGATGGAGAAAGAGGATACAGAGAACGAAGATGAGGCTGAAAGCATAGGAGTTAGTCTTTAGCTGGACTATGAGCTAGGGCGCTGGACAGAACTGAAGTTATGGAGACAGGATTTCATCCCAGAGAAGTAAAGTAGATAGATATAGAGCTTGTTATGTCTAGAGTTATTCCTGCCTTGAATGCCTGGTGGAACTATAGCTGAATTGATGTAATTTTGTCTTAGAGGAATAAAATTAACAGACATAAGAACATAGTGTATGTAGTTTTTTTCCCCCTGATATCCCATGCTGGACATAGCAAATCCCCCTTGAACCCTGGGGAATCAATAAAAAGTGAACCTCCTATTTGGTTTCCTTCTAAAGTGACTTGGTGACTACATTATAATGTCTGTATGGTGGAGTAAGTATGCATAGCACCAGAATTATATGTCTATGTCTATATTGTCAAAGAAGTATGCATTTACAATGCTTTCAGTATCATGTTTTCTGTTGTACATATGTATGGGATATTTTAGAATGCAGTGACCTATGAAGATGTGCATGTCAACTTCACTCAGGAAGAGTGGACATTGCTGAATTCTTCCCAGAAGAATCTCTACAAAGATGTGATGCTGGAGACCTACAGGAACCTCACTATTATAGGTAAGACTGAATTTTCCTTCATGTTTTCAAATAGAGGGACAACTGTTCTTTGGTTATTGATGCTCTTCTGTAATTTGATTGAGAAAGAGGAAGAACGAGGTTAGTAAATCAGGCATAGTTCTAAGGTTCACTGAAGATAGTAACTTAAATTTTGCACAATTTTCAATAATATACCATATATTTTCTGGTAATCTATTTTAGGATACAGTTGGGAAGCCCATAATATTGAAGAACATTATCAAAGTTCTAGAAGACATGAAAGGTAATTTTCATGTGCAAGCTGATATAAATGTGACTCTGAAGAAATTGTAATATGTGCTGGAAGTTTTAAAGAAAAGCAGCAGTTTAAATAAGCACAGCTTAATGTGCATTGATGAATATTAAGTTCTCACAAAACTGTATACTTCAGTTATCATGAAGTGAATTTCATTTTCAAGGCATTCTTTAAAGAAAGAAGATAGGGAAACAATAACAATGTCTTAACAGATATCACCATTTGAATCATATCCTCATTAGAACTATGCTATAGATCTGCCAATCCATTTATTTTCATAGTGCTCATATTACAAAATGTATACACATTAAAGAGGTGATAATTAGTGTCCAAAACCCTCTAATAAGCAAATAGTCCATAGTAAAGCTACTGTTACTGTTATACTTGTGACTTTGCTAAGTTTAGTGAAAGAGGGAGTTAGAGTCCAACGTCAACGGGCAGTTATTGTGGAGAAACCTCAATCCCTATTCCACATGTCTATGAGGAGCAAAAAGTAAAAGTATGTGAATTCTATGGGAAAACCTTTTGTTTGTTATTCTTCCCTTAGTAGATATATCATTTGTCACTCTGGATATAGGGATATGGAAAGATGTAACCTCCTTCTTAGAACAATTAGAAGGTATGTAGTAGTCCCCACATTGAGTAAACTTGTTAAATTTTATTCAAGTACATAAGTAATTGGCTTTCAAGTTTCATTGTTAATACAGTAACAAACTCACATTGCTAAAAGCCCTATGAGTACTAGGAACATGTGAATACTTCTCTTTGTCCTAGTTCACTTAACAAATATAGTATGACTCACAATATAGGAAAATTTATGAATGCAATAGTCATGGTAAATTTCTGAGTTCTTCCAGTTCTCTTCAAGTGTGTGAAAATTTTCATATAGGAAAAAGATTCTGTAAGTGTGAACCATGTAATAAAGGTTTTTATCATACAGGTATCTTCAAAGATACAAAAAAAAAACCCTTAATGAAGGGGAACAACATGAGTATAAATACAGTGACAAAAGCTTAAGGTCTTTCCTCTTTACAATTAGACCAATTGTAATTTTACAATTAATTGTAAAATTGACTCATTCAGATATAAGGATTCAAAAGGGTAATGAATGTGGTAAAGCTTTTACATGTGCCAATTATCTTTCCTTGCAGGCATGAAAGAAGTCATATGCAAGAGAAACCTTCTGAATATAGTCAATGTGTTAAAGCTTTTGCATATCATAGTCATCTTCCAAGGCATGGAAGAACACATACTGGAGAGAAACCCTGTGAATGTAATCAATGTGGTAAAGCCTTTGCACACAAGAGTAGTCTCCAAGTCCATAAAAGAACTCACACTGGAGAGAAACCCTATGAATGTAATCAGTGTGGTAAAACCTTTGCATGTGACAGTAATCTCCGAGTACATAAAAGAATACATACTGGAGAGAAACCCTATGAATGTGATGAATGTGGTAAAGCCTTTGCACGCCTTAGTAATCTACAAATACATAACAGAACACATACTGGAGAGAAACCTTATGAATGTAATCAATGTGGTAAAGCCTTTGCACGTCTTAGTCATCTTGAAATCCATAAAAGAACACATACTGGAGAGAAACCCTATGAATGTAATCAATGTGGCAAAACATTTACCCGTCCCAGTAGTGTTCAAATGCATAAAAGAACACATACTGGAGAGAAACCCTATGAATGTAATCAGTGTGGTAAAGCCTTTGCTTGCCACAGTAGTCTCCGAATACATAAAAGAACACATACTGGAGAGAAACCCTACGAATGCAATCAGTGTGGTAAAGCCTTTACACATCATAGTCATCTTCAAGTGCATAAAAGAACACATACTGGAGAGAAACCTTATGAATGTAAACAGTGTGGTAAAGCCTTTAAGCATCACAATCATCTTCAAATGCATAAAAGAACACATACTGGAGAAAAACCCTATGAATGTAATCAATGTGGTAAAGCCTTTGCATATCACAGTAGTCTTCGAATACATAGACAAACACACACTGGAGAGAAATCCTATGAATGTAATCACTGTGGTAATGCCTTTGCACATCTTAGTACTCTTCAAAGGCATGAAAGAACACATACTGGAGAGAAACCCTATGAATGTAATCAATGTGGTAAAGCCTTTGCACGTCATAGTCATCTTCAAAGTCATGAAAGAATACATACTGGAGAGAAACCCTATGAATGTAATCAGTGTGGTAAAGCCTTTGTATGTCATAGTCATCTTCAAAGGCATAAAAGAACACATACTGGAGAGAAACCCTATGAATGCAATCAGTGTGATAAAACCTTTGCATGTATCAGTAGTCTTCGAAATCATGAGAAAAAATCATACTGCAGAGAAACTCTATAAAAGTAGTCAGTGTGGTAAAGTTTTGCACTTTATACATGAATAAAACTTTGTGTGCAATCAATCTGTTAAAGACTTTGCATATTACAGTAGCCTTTGAGTGCCTAAAAAACTAATACTGAAGAGCTCCTTATTATAAAGTATTTGGTAAGATGTTAGCCAAAACACTTACATTCAGTTGCACAAGAGTATTTATTCTGGAGAAGAAAAATTGACAGTGTCAACAATCTGTTCAAGCATTATATCTGTCTTTGTTTTGTTTGTACCTACAAACTCATGTGAACAAAAGCCCTTTGAATTTAAACAGTAAGACAACCCTTTTAGATTTCATACTTCTTCAATTACATGAAATAGCTAATTCAGATGTAAAACTTTATGGATGTGTATTAGTGCCTTTTCTGTTTTTGTAATATAATGTCTATGTCAACTTATAAATGAGTTTAATTTGGCCCTTGGTTCCAGAGGTGTACAGGATATCCATGAAAGTGGCATGGCAACAAGTGTCGGACATGGCAGCTAAAGCAAGAGGCTAAGAACTCAGATCCCTAATCTGCAGCATGAAGCAGAGTGGAAATGGAAATGATGCATGGATATAAATTCTCAGAGCACTACCCCCAGTGACATATTTCCTCCAGCAGTGCAGTATTTCCTAAATCTTCCTAAATGATACCACCAACTGAGAAGGATTGGTTTCTCTGACTTCAAGACTACACACTTGCTTTCTGTTATATGAACGAACTCATGATAAAGAAAAAATCTGCAAGTAAGCCTTTAGATGCCTCAACACCTGTCTTACAGGAATTAATGCTTACAAAAGACAACCTTTCATGAGTGAAAACTTGTTTGTTTAAAGATTTGTTTTCATTTTAATTGCATGATATCAGTGTGTATTTGTATGTGCATGTGTATGCTGGTTCCCAAGGTTAGACCCTTGGATCATCTTATAGCAGGAATTACAGAAAGTTGTCAAATACCAAACCTTCGTCCTAAAAATGAATTTTTCTTAACTGCTCAGCCATATATCTAGTCCTATAAATATTTTAAAGCCTATTTACATCATTTTGAAGTCAGGAAATAGGGAAGAACTCATACAAGAGAAAATCCCTATTCATGTAAATGATTTGGTAAAGACTTTATACATCACAGTTGTCTTTAAGTCCAAGAAAAAAATCTTGTTTCATTTTCATCATATCCTTGAAGGAAGTAAATTACTTACCATGTGGTTTCTATTTTGAAACATTTGATGTAGATACTAAAGTGTGTTATATGTATGGTTAGTGACCTTTATTTTTTGGTCCTTATATTTCTCATGTGACTTTTGTTGTTCTTCTATTGTGCTTTTACTTAGTGATAGGTAGTTTTCTGCTGCAATGTATAGAATGGAATGCCCATCATGTAAGTAATCATTGTTTATTTAAATATCAGGCAGTATGTGAACATATTGTCAAGGAAAGGATGTCTGTGAAATGGTCATAGGTTGCTGTTCCTGGTTTTGTTTTCCATATTTTCACAAATTCCCTTGAAATTTTGTTGTTTGTTATTCAGTGTTCCTTGGATGTAGTAATTATTCAGGAATACATTTGAACTTATGATCCTTATGTGTTAACCTTCTGAGTACAAGTCCAAGAGTAGGTGATGTAGTCTCAATATTTGCTGTTTTGTCAATGCAATTTAACATTGTTAATGTTAAAATGTTTATAGAAGAGAATAAAAGAAACATTAAATAACTCATGTATATTCAGAGCAGTATTTTTATTTATCTGGTAGAGATGTAATAAAGTGAGATAATCAGCAATCAACTGTGTATCTCATGACATAATTCTGCCTCTCATAAATAATATATATACATATATATATGTATATATATATATATATATATTTAACATTCCATACTTCTTCCTGTCCCCATTAGTTAACCATTTCACAATTCATCTTGAAGTACTTCCTTCTAAGGGAATTGTTTAGAGATGTCATATAATGTAATGGCACTAAGATTTATTTTGTAACAAACATTTACGTATGTGTGTAATGTGATTATGAATTTGTAGGCCATGGCAGATATGTGGAGACAAGAAGACAGCTTTGTGGGGTCTACATTTGGTCCTCTTTATATGGTGATGAAGGTCAGGTTTCCAGCCTTGCATATCACAGAGATTTTGCCCTGAGTTTTCTCACTGGTGCTCAAATAACATTAGTAGAAATATTACATCAATAAACTGTTGTCTTTTCAGATTGTAAACATAATTTCATACAAGGATAGAGGAACACAGGACAATTTGAAAAAATAAATCCCCTTTACATATGAAAATAATTTATACTACCATTCATGTTTTTAAATTTGTTTATTCTGAGGACTAAATATTTGTTTATATCACTTTCTCAGAATCTCAATTGAATGCCAAGGAATTGCCTTAGCCAGTAAAGTTGGTTGCTGCTAAACCTGATGACCTGAGTTCTAGCTCTGGGTGACCCATATTACTCCTACAAATTTTTCTCTTTTTTTCTACACTTGGTCTGTGGCATATGTACACTCCTACATCAGCATACCTATAAATAAATTTTAAACCTAAATAAGTGTCATAGAGGTCACTTGCTGCCAAATGACTCCTTGGATTTCATCACTAAAACTCACATAGGGGAAATAGATAATAGACACCTGTAAGTTGTTTTCTCAGTGCTACATATACATCATGGTGTATACACACAAATACAGTTCAAATATTTTTAAATGGATGAAATTAACAAAGCAAAGAAAATAACTCAATTATTGAGAACATATGAAATGATTTGCCAGTTTAAATTATTATAGAACATATTTCAAGAAGTATTACTTTTCATCAAAGTAATGATGGTTTCTTTTTAAATCTTATTTTATCTTTTCATTCTCTGATTCAATGACAGATTATTTAAGAAACATATGAGCTGGACTTAGAGGTGCATGCCTGTAATCTCAGCATTTGGGAGGCTGTGTTGGGCCAATTCCTGTGAGTTTGAGGCCAGCTTGGTCCGCATAGTGAGTTCCAGAGCAGCCATTGCTATGTGGACATATCTTGTTTCAAAAAAACTCCAAAAAAATGCATGTCTCAAATTATGGAACTTTTCCTAATATAATCTGGCTGGACTCTGACTTGTTTTGACAAAACCTTTTTGTTATCTTTACTCACATGAAGAGAATTGTGATAACATTGAAAATAAAGAGCAACATGGAGAGTCCATTCACAGAGGGCCAGAAGTCCATTGAATCCTTTGACAACCATCTAGAAGAGACTCAGAAGTTTCAAGTCATAGGAGACAGAAGGAATGGTGGGACATCCTCATCTTCTGCATTATAATGACATTTGTGACTTGGAAAGTTGAATAAGTAGTACTGTGCTCCTGGATACTCATGTTTGGTTCCTAGTACCCACATCAGATTGGTTAGAACTACCTGTATTTCTAGGTCCTGGAGATCTGGTACATTTTTCTGACCTTCTAGGGCATCAAATATGAAAGTGGTGAAAAGACAGATATATATGTGATTACATATTGTAAAAAAGGTTTTCTTCATGTGTATGCTATTTTAAGAAAGAATGAATTTTAAATTAGGTCTATAAGTTTTGCCAGTGAGTGTATCAAGTGCATGCCAGGCACCAGTAGAGACCAGAAGACAGTGTCTGATCTCTTGTGACTGGAGGTTGTGAGCTGTCTTGTGGTTGCTGGATATCAAAGTCAAGCCCAGTGGGTGAGTGGCCAGTCTTCTTAGGTGCTGAGCCTTCTATTCAGGCCCATGAACATGTCATTAATAGTAGTAAGGTGTGAATGGCTGATATAAGTTCATCTGTACTTCAGCCATGATGACCCAGAAGAAATATAAGATTGATAGTATCAGAAACTAACTTACAGTTGGTAGTTAAAGGAGATTTTTCCAAGCCCAAATCTCCACAAAATGAGGGGAAAGTACAAAAAATAATCAGGAGAGAAGCTGACAGTAGAAGTCTTTAAAAGGTGGCTGACCATATAACCAAAGCCACAAGACTTGGTTTATCTCTAACGTGGTAAATAGGTAGTAATGGGGCCCAAAGGGGCATATGTCAGGTGTACCCCTGCTTGAGTTTATACCTCCTGTAAGAAGAGAAAAGGAACTTGCAGGCATGAAGATTGACTTGTCTGAATGGGATCATATTCTGCTTCCCTGATGCCTGCAAAGCCTTCAGTTGACAGCTCTGAATGGTGGTGACTCCAGATGACATCCAGGTTGTCAGGAGATCCTGAGATTTAAACAGAAGTTACTCGAAGGCTAAGGCAATCAAGAATTTACAGAGACCTAGGGGTTTGGAGTAATTAATAGGGAGAGGGCTTTGGGTGTGAAAACCGAGGATCAAGTGCCATAGAGCAGTGCTTGAGGTGTACCTAAGCTGGCATGCACTCTACTCTGTATCCCCTCACTTGTGGTGGGTCAGCCCCCTCCAGGTCTTCTACTCTGCTTTTTTTTTTTTTTGGCAACTCATGTAGCTGTCAGTGACAATACCCTACAGCCTCTACTTTGCAATACCCACTGGGATCTTAAAGCTCCTGGTCTCCACCCCACCAATCCCTGGTACCTGCCTTTGGCTAACGACTAGTGAAACAGTAGACACCATGAAATTCCAATTTCCCTGGGAATTTCATTATGGAAAAAGACTAACTCCTCAAGATGAAATGTCTCTACTGAAGAAACATTTACTCCTTATCTGATCACCTTGCAAGAGATAAAGGACCTGAGGATGAGGGAGGATTTTAAAGATGGGGAAAAATTTCACCATATGGCTTAGTTACATTACTTAGTTGTCCACATCACTTACTTTTTATCTAAACCTGTTCATCACCTTATATCTTCATCGCTGTTCCAAATTAGTCACACTGAAAAAATGTCATGTTTATAATTTGTATTAATAATTTGCTCTTTTTTCTTTTATATTTTTCTCTTTTATTTTAAAGAATAGTCTCAGTATGAATCTGTGGCTGGCCTGGAACTCACTATGTAGCCTAGGGTCTTCTAGAATGTCAGAAAGGTTTGCCTACCTTGTCTCCAGTGTACCTGAATTATAGGTGGACACATCACAAACAACTAACTTGGTTTTCTGTTTTTGTTTTTTGTCTTTTGTTGTTGTTGTTGTTGTTGTTTTGAGACAGGGTTTCTTTGTTTAGCCTTGGCTTTCCTGAAACTAGCTCTGTAGACCAGATTGGCCTTGAATTTACAGAAAGCCATCTGTCTCTGCCTCTCCAGTGTACCACCACCACCTAGTGTAACTTGTTTTTTTTTTAATTGACTTAATAAGAGTGAGTGGCTGAGCCAGGCTGGTTAGGGTAGCCAGGACACAGGCTCTGGCCTAACTCCAATATTAGAAGAAGGCTCCCATCAAATGCAGCCCTCCTTCCTTAAAGTCCACTGTATTCCAACTATGAGCAATATTGTTTTTATTTATCTTTGAATCTATTATAATTCATCAAGGGACTAGAGCAGAGTACTGTCATTATACTACAAATGGTGAAACTCAGGCACATAGAAATCAGTGGGTTTTGAATATACTTAAGTGTAACTGCTCATCTTCCTCATCCCATCATTCTAATGACTCACTAAATGAAATTGAAAGCCACGTAAATCAGGTATGGTGGCACATGCCTGTAATACTTAGTAAGTAGAGGTAGGGATTTCAGGATTTCAAAGTCATCCAAGATGAGAATGGTCAATGGGTTAAGGTGGGAGGCACAAAGAACCTAGGGAGACTGTGATTGGCTCAGGACACAGTCTTCCCTGCAGCTCTAGAACTTCAGGGCCATGGCACCAGCAAGTGTTAACTGTGGTATTTATCACCCCAAGTTTTCTATTCTTGAAAATGTTTCCTGTCCAAGGCAGCCTAGGTCACTTTGGGGTCAGACTCATGTGCTGTGGGATAATGCTTTTGTACACTGGTTTAATAAAACACTGAATGGTCAGTAGTCAGGCAAGAAGTATAGGCAGTATAAGCACACAAGGAGAATTCTGGGAAGAGGAAGGCTAAGTCAGGAAACACCAGCCCACCATCCAGGGAGCAGCATATAATGGCACACAGGTAAAGCCATGGAACACACGGCAACATATAGATTAACAGAAATGGACTGAGTTTAAGTGTAAGAGCTAGTCAGTAGGAAGCCTGAGCTAATGGCCAAGGAGTTTTAATTAATAAGCCTGTGTGTGTTTACTTGGGTCTGAGCAGCTGTGGGACTGGTGGGTGAGAGAGATTTGTCCTGACTGCAGACCAGGCAGGACACAGGAAAATTTCAGCTATACTCATGTTGCTCAATAAAAAATAAAATTCTCCTGCAAGTGGGTGAATTAGCCTCAGGCAGGGATGAACTCCTGATCTGTGTATCCAACACAGTCTTGAAATCATAACACACAACCAACAGACATGGACCCAGCAGGTCTTATTCATATATTTGCACATACCTTTTCACACATACTTAACAAGGAAGAAATTAAAAGAGAGGAATTTGGGATGGGATAGAGAAAGGACAAGAAAAGGGAAAGTGATGTAATATATTTAATTAAAATAAACACAAACAAATTTTAAATAACAATATGGCTTGAGAGATAGCTTAGCAATTAAGAGCACTGAGTGTTATTGCAGAGGACATAGGTTACATTGTCAGAAACCATGATAGCCAGCAATCTCCTGTAACTCCAGTTCCAAGGGATTTGATTCCCTCCTCTGGTCTCTGCAGGAGCTGCACACAGACACATGCAGGCAAACATCCATATACATAAAATAAGACTTAAAAATGGAATCCTGTACAGTAA